CGCTTAATCGATTTCACTTTTCATTCTGATCCAGTGTTGCCACAAAAACATTACCAATTCCTCAAAAACAAACGAAAAGTCCTCAAAATCCGAACAAATTACTCAAACTTTTCTTATTACAGATATGAGTATAGTGTACTGCATACTATTTACAGGTACTTAGTATAAAAATTAATTACATTCTCCAATTCAATTGGTAAATTTTTTCTTGCGGTTCAAACAACGCATCGCCGTTATTTTTATACCCGAGCGCACTATGCACAAGGGTATTATAACTTTCGTTCACATAACGGTTGCTTGTAACAGGCAAAACGAATCGAGATAGATATAGACAAATGTATACACCATTGAAAATTGTTGAAATCGGACTAAAATTACGGCCGCTTTTCATATAACGGTAAATTTCAGAAATGCTTGAAATTTCAATATTTTGAAATTTAAGGACGCTAGTTTACTTAAAATTTATACACGCCGGCTTATCATGTAGCGGTAGCTTTCGGAAAGGTGGAAAACATATATATAATACTTGCGCCGGGTATTTAATGTTCGGCTCCGCCCGAACTTAGACTTTCTTACTTGTTTGTATATAATATTGCTGCAACTATATCAGTGCTCAATCTGGTCCTTAAGTCAGTCTTACACATCTTTAAATTACTAAATATACGTTCTACTGAAGCATTAGAAAAGGGCTACATATATTAGTCATGCAGATATAATTTTTTTAATTGGGAAACTTATATGAACCTGAAGAATCTTTTGATTCAAAAACTTTTTCTATAGTTTTCTGGATCTTATGAGGAATCAATATGAATATCCTTATGATCGAACAATGCGTGTTCTCTCCATTCGTTACCGAGATTTTGCAAATTCAAATTTAGTTGAAAATATAACGATGGAATGAAAAAAATTATCGATAACATTTTGAATATTTAGCAGCAAATGCAGATATGCTTAAGAGCGAAAAACACCACACACGCGGCATGGCAAACCAAGCGAAATATTCCTTTCCTTAAAGCTATTTATGTTGTGTATGGGGGTGTTTGAAGGTGTGACAAGCGGTTTGAGGAAAATGTGAACAAAAATCAAAATTATCTGATGTTCTGGCCGTCATGTTGACGCTTGATCAATCCGCTTACGTTGTGTATGATAAAATCACCTCATTCGCAACGGAATGAGGACGCGAGAGAGAAAAATGGAAGAAAACCAAACCCTTTTACATTGTGAACCGGAAGAAAACTAAAATTCTTTGCTTGAACGAGTCGTGTTTGCATGGTGTATGGCGAAATGGGAAAAGTAAGTTTGAAGAATGTTTGACAAGCCACTTGTGTGGTGTATTTCGCTCTTTATAAAACTTCAGAAAGCGTTTTGTTCAAAAATTTGCTGAGCGATTTAACAACTCTCTTGTGTAAAACATGGTTGCATTTGTTATCTGCAAATATATCGAGAGAAAGTTCCTCAAAAATTCCTCAAAATAAAAATCCCCAAAAATACTCAAGCGTACCCGAAATTCCTCACGTTTTGAGGAATTACTCACAAAGTGGCAACACTGTTCTGATCATTTATGTATACATTTGTCTATATCTATCTCGATTCGTTTAGACTGTTACAAGCAACCGTTATGTGAACGAAGTTATAATACCCTTGTGCATAGGTGCGCTCGGGTATAAAAATAAGCCAAATTGATGCAGGCGTATTTAAATCTGGTGTTTAAATAAAACATAAGCCAGAAAATATTAAAGAAACCCTTATTTTATAACGGATAGTAATTTTTGCCGATATTCAACCAAACAAATTAAATGATAAATTGCTATTAAAATACTCTTTTTCTTCGAACTGAGAGAAATACCTCGTTTAAGTCGCTTTTGGTTGCGTTTATGTAGACAACATCCGATGATGAAAACATTTAAAAGGACTACCGTTACGCCAGAAACAACGCCTATTAGCAAAAGTAAACCGGAAGTACCCCCTAGGGGCGTTGAAGTGGTAGTCGGTGGTCCACCCAGCGATGAGGCCGGTTGAGAGGGTGGCGGAGCCTCTAAGATATTTTGAACAGTTTACGGAAATAGTTGCAGCAGTGATCCACGGGCAGCAATAAAAATAAGTAAAAAGAAGGTATTACGTTAGGAATTCCCCTAATATCCTTGTAAAGTACATATGAATTTCAGTTAGTTGGTTGTCCTTCTCTTCGTAATTTGTTTTACCAAAAGCCTAGAAGTTAAACACATGTGTTCGTCCGGAAAACCTTTAACCTTGGAAGTTCGTTTAATTAATCGTCAAATAACTAGCTTTACCTACATACATTGGTACTTGTAACACTAATAAAAAGTATAAATATACATACATACTATATATTACATGATAGTTTACCTTTAGTTTGTGCTCGTTGTAAATCCGGTAAGTATTTACTGTTACCCAGATCATTGTAGGCCATCACAGAGAATAAGTAGAGTGTGTTTGTTTTTAAACCAGTTATAATCAACTTATGACTGTTTGGCAAACTATCTATATATTTATATTGCTCCCGATTTGCCTCTCTGAAATGGAAATAATAAATATGACATACACTGATTATAATATATTTTTTTTATTCAACAAGCAAAAAACAAAACCGACTTCAATTCTCATATAACAAATGAAGAGTACCGTTATTTTCTTCATGATACAGTGATCGAATTTAAACGAAATTAGTATGGGACCACCTCTGAGGTACCACCTTTCCTTTAAAATGAATTATAGAAATCGGTTGATGTGGTCCAAAGTTATGCGGTAACATACACACACATAAACAAATATATATATTCCGAAGAATTTATAATAGTCTAAGAGCTAGCAACGTTTTCGAGCGTTGGTTGCGTTGACTAGTGCGCATCGTATCTTTACAGTTAAAAATGCTAATTTTTTAAGTCATTTTAGTAAGGCTAATTTTCTTTTCATTGGCTTTAACTAACTTTTAGAAACATAGATTTATTATTGCCAGACATGTCAGTTGTTGCTAACATTGTGCCAGACGTCATTCTTTATTAAAAAAAAATTATTATCATTTTAGTAAAGCGCAAAATTTAATATGATGTTGTTTAAGTACTAATGAATCTAAAATTAATTTGCCAGACATTAATTCGGTTGCTAAAGCAAGATCTAGATCGATTTAAAGCTGAAAAGTGTTACACTGGTAGTGAGGGAGATAGTAGCAAAATAGTGAATTTTCATAGGATTCNTAGATCGATTTAAAGCTGAAAAGTATTACACTGGTAGTGAGGGAGATAGTAGCAAAATAGTGAATTTTCATAGGATTCTAGTATGAAAACTGGAAACTATGACAACTTGTCTAACGTTATAACATAAATCTAATTATTGGAATATCGAAAATTAATTTTTTTTCAAATACATACGCAAAGGCAAATAAAAACTTAAATATTTCAAAAAACATCAACTTCTATGGCGTCAGAATAAATCAAATACANAACTTGTCTAACGTTATAACATAAATCTAATTATTGGAATATCGAAAATTAATTTCTTTTCAAATACATACGCAAAGGCAAATAAAAACTTAAATATTTCAAAAAACATCAACTTCTATGGCGTCAGAATAAATCAAATACATACGTAAAGGCAAATAAAAACTTAAAACATTTCAAAAAACATCAACTTTTATAGTGCCGGAATAAAGCAAGCGAAAAACACAAACATTTTTATATTTATAACCAGGGAACGGATTTTATGGAAATTGCCTTTTTTTCGTGTTAAAGAGATAGAGTATATTCGATTAAGAATGTCCACGATTTAGCTTTCCCTTTAAAAAAGTGATTATAGCATTTACAATTAAGACTAAAAAATATACACATTGCCCTTGCGACTTATAGAAGCGCAGATACCTCTTGCCAAATTTGTGTTGGAAAAATTCAAAGCCGTTTTCTCAGCTAACGAAGGCTTGGAGACAATAAGGGGTGTGGATAAAATTATCAAGGGCGAGGAAAACTCCCTTATTCCTGATAATATGAACGTTTCAAACGTTCCATAGTTAAATTGGGCGCCGCTTGTATCAACTTACGTCGAGCACACATTTAGTATATTCAAGGCTTTTCTTCGCGAAAATCGAATGAAAATGCTGCCAGAGAACTTCAAAATGCATCTTGCGGTTCAATGTTACTACAACTATACAGATTAAAGTTTTATAAGTTAGAAACCCGAAAGGATAAAATATTCAAAGATTCAAAGTACAAATTTATCATATAATGAAACTAGTTCATAGTTTTTCTCTTTTTACTTGTAATATAAACATTTCTAAAATAAATGTAGTTTTTGATTGTTCTTTGTATTTTCTGTCCTTTTAGTGCCCTATTTTGCTTTTTTTGCAATACCTAGTGCCTTTTCCTGCCTTTTTCGCTATTTTGTTTTGCCTTTTTTTGCCTTTTCTGCAGCACCTAGTGCCTTTTCCTGGCTTTTTCGCTATTTTATTTTTCGTTTTCCAGCCTATTTCGTTATTTTATTTTGCGTTTTTTATAGGTTTTTAGGTCCTAAAGATCCGTTCCCTGTTTATAACACTATCATAACATTTTTATGGCGCATTTACATGGTATGAAGCCATATGAACTGTTGATACGCTAAAATAGAGGGACTACATGTTCTAATGAGGAATTCAATGATATCGAGTGGGATGCATATAATAAATTTTTTCATATGAAAAGTTATGGGGAGATACTGTAAACATACTGTTGTGATACTGTTAAGCATATGAAATTATAGCAAGTTGAATTTTCATACATCTTCCCATAAAAAGTTTAACAGATGCAGAGATACCAAGGGGGGTTTTTCCCATTTTGATGCCTTTTTAATATAAAAACCCACCGAAAAGGAGGAAAGCGGCAACTCCGCCATTCACATACATGTCAAAAGTATGAATTTAAAAATTAAAAACAATAAACAAACAAATTCAAAACAAAGAAATTCTTTGTACTAGAACTTTTTAAATTGAAGCCACTCACGTTTAGTGGACAATAAAAATACGAAGAACTATGATAACAAACTTACAACANTATGCATCCCACTCGATATCATTGAATTCCTCATTAGAACATGTAGTCCCTCTATTTTAACGTATCAACAGTTCATATGGCTTCATACCATGTAAATTCGCCATAACATTTTTATATTTAAACCCTGGTTTACAACGAAAGTGCGCAGCGGATGCCACTATCCAATTCCTATGCAGAATCGCTTGCTGATTCCGAAATTTAGTACTTTTTCCATGTATATGTTTTCGAGATTTCGCCACGAAACGGAGTTTCAGACAGGGCGACTCCCTTTCATGTGACTTCTTTAATCTGATGTTGGAGAAGATAATAAGAGCTGCAGAACTGAACCGCTCGGTATTAAAAACCGAGAAGTCTGTTCTGCCTTTTCCAAGTTGGGTAAGGAAGCAAGCGAATGGGTCTGCCGGTAAACGAGGATAAGACGAAGTATCTCCGGCAAAACTTTTTTTAGTCCCACTTTTATTTCAACATATTTTGATTAAAAGAAAAATAGTGACAAAAATAAAATTTTTCATAAAAACAGGGTTGAAATCTTGAAAATCCTGCCCGTAGTTTGTTTGTAAGTCAAATATGAGTGGCATTGTGCTACTATGATAGCACGGCCGAGTAATCATAGCCAACTTATGTACAGTAGTAGAAAAAATTATAGCCGCACCAAATTTTGACAAGTTTTAAAATATTATTTTTGTTGTTATTTAATTTCGGTTAGTTTTTTATAGTTCCTTCTTTACCAACATCCGTATAAATACAAGTTTAAAGGCAGTGACACACGATTGGGTATTTGCTAAAATTTCGTGTAAATCGTATCCCATTTGTTTGAAAACCCAAAATATTTTTCACTATCCCAATCACGAAAATTAATTTATTGAAATTTTTCAATAGAACATCGCTGTATTGTAGCAATCTTTTGAATGCAAAAAAAAATGTCCCACTTTTTTTTTCAAAAGCCCAATATAAAAATTTACAAATCTGTACAAATGTACCAATCGAGTGACACTGCCTTAAAAATTTATGCAATTAAAAAAAATAATAAGCTACAAATTTTCGTTAAAATTTCGAGTTTTTTAATTAAGTTCTGAGTATGCAGCTTTGTAGCCCATTGAATTCTAGTAGAATAAAGTACACGTTTCAAATGGCTAAAAATGTCGATTGATTTTTTAGAATTTTTAAAAGTTCGAAATTTGTACGAAAGTTTGTTGAATTTTTTTTTTTTAATATTGCACAAATGAGTAGTCCACTTGCAAACAGCGTTATGTGATTTTATAATAGTGAGCCATAATTTAATAAAACATCTACAACAACAAGTAAATTGTATATTTCTCTTTATTATCTGAAAATTTGGATAAACAAGAGCCTAATAACATTAAAAAAAAATATGGCAATGTGGTAGTTTTTGCAAATTTTATATACAAAAATTTAATATAGCGAGTTTTGAAACAGTACCTTTTACATAGCTATCTTTTTTTTGCTTTTTGCATTCGCTCTTCCATGAAGATTGGTCTGCNAAATATAGCAATGTGGTAGTTTTTGCAAATTTTATATACAAAAATTTAATATAGCGAGTTTTGAAACAGTACCTTTTACATAGCTATCTTTTTTTTGCTTTTTGCATTCGCTCTTCCATGAAGATTGGTCTGCTTCTTTTTTACGACGCCTTCCACTAGGCACCGAAACTACCACGTTTTCTTGCAGTTTTCTAAGTTCATCAGAAGATGGAGATTTTTGAAAGTGTATAAATAAGTATTATAGCGACCTTTGCAATAGTAGTTAACATTTGATGCTATTTTTTCAGAAAATAGAAAGATTTTGCACTGTATTGTTAGTGGACATGAAACTACTTTAAATACTGGTACGTTACTCACCAAAAACTAAAAATGTAAAAAAGTTTACATAGCACCTTTGCAAGTGGACTGCTTAAATTTGGAAACATGGATTTCCACGGGTTTCGTTAAAGAACAAACTATATTTTTATTTAAAAATATAACAAAAGTTCAATGACAACAAATATAATACGTTAAAACTTGGCACAAAGTGGTTCGGCTATAATTTTTTGACCACTGTATGTATTTTTTTATATCTGTAATTAAACTTTCACATTGTACATAAAGGAAGTACATAACAAAATTAAAAAATATTTGCCTTTTTTGCCTTTTTTTGAAGCTCGTTTTGCCTTTTTTAAGTTTAAGTGCCTTAAAACCCTACATTTCTACATTTTGGGGGGGGGGNCCTTTTTTGCCTTTTTTTAAAGCTCGTTTTGCCTTTTTCAAGTTTAAGTGCCTTAAAACCCTACATTTCTACATTTTGTTAGCAACAACGGACATGACTGGCAATAATAAATCTATGTTTCTAAAAGTTAGTTAAAGCCAATGAAAAGAANTGACACTATAGAAGCTGATGTTTTTTGAAATATTTAAGTTTTTATTTGCCTATACGTATGTATTTGAAAAAAGAAATTATTTTTGATGTTACAATTAGATTTATGTTATAACGTTAGACAAGTT